CCACTGTATGCACCCCCAGGGGAGGCATGGGTGGCATGTGCCCCCTGGATTTGTGTTTGGGGCAAGGGCAGGCTGCCCACTGCAGGTTTGGGGCCAGGGGCTGGGCCAAGCTCTTCCCAGAAGGAGGGAAGGAGGCTGTGCTCGGGGTTATGCTTGGGGTGGGTGGACAATGGCACTGGGAGGGGGCTATGGGGTGAGCTGTAGCCCCCTCTCCCAGTGCTGCCCCTACCTGCCCCGAGCACAGCCCTGGCCCACCCCCCTGCTGGGAAGAGGTTGGTGCAGACTCTGGCCCCAAGCCCTCAGTGGGCAGCTTGCCTTTGCCTCATGCACAAATCTGGAGGGGGAGGGAGGAAACGTGCCCCCAGAAGTGCGTGCAGTGGCAGCAGCTGTTTTCCACCCCCCAGCCCCACAGACGAGCTGCCCACTGCTCAGTCCCACACCCTGCCCCACCCTCATTGGGCAGCGCCTACCCCTGCTGCAGCCCCACTCCCTCCTGCCTTGTGGGGGCCTTGATCTGCGCCCCCCCCCAAATGCCCCTTCCCTTCCTCACGCGCCTTTGCCCCCCACAGACTTACCGCCTGGATGCTGCTCTCCAAGCTGCCGGGCTGCACTCCTGGCCACGTGCATGCTGCAGCTGCATTCATGCACGCGGCATTTGTCGATGACCTTATCAGCTATGCCGGCCTAAAAAAGCCGATTGCCAATAATGTCAGTTTTCCTTTTATCAGTGCCGATCTGATATGGACTGATATATTTGTGCACCTTTACTTGGAACCAGTGTTCCCAGAGGTTCAAGTCTTTGTATCCTATTCTCCTGAATGGCCTGCTTTGCCCATAACTTTATTTAGTTAATTTTTTTAAAAACTTATATCTCATGCTATCCAAAAAGCTCCACGCTGCTTACAGTAAACAAAGAGCTCTCAGGCAAGATGGCCCAAATTACACCCTGAGACCCAAGAATTCCAGCCCCCACCGCTACTGATAACCATCGCCTCCCTGCCCTGACCCCCACACAAGCAAACCCCCCTGCTAATCCCTCCTACGGGAGAGCTGTGTGTTTCATCTGGGGTGGGGAAGAGGGCTGCTGACAGCTGCAGCTCTTCCATAGAAGATGGGGTATAGGTTTGGAGGGGGATAGTTCTCTTCAGGTTGACTTTTTTTTTT